TACTACTACACACTACTACTACTACTTACTACTACTACTACTACTACTACTACTACTATACTTACTTACTACTACTACTACTACTACTACTACTACTACTACGGGTACTTCTAATACTACTACTACTACTACTACTACTACTACTACTACTACTACTACTACTACTACTACTACTACTACTACTACTACTTCTCGTGCTAGTACTACTCGTACTACTAGCACTACTAGTACTTTTCGTATTACCATCACTTCTAGAGTTACTCGTACTACTAGTATTACAAGCACTACTCGTTCTACTGGTACTGTTTGTACTCGTGCTAGTACTCGTACTCGAATTTGTACTAGTACTCGCCGCGGCGGCCGCCGTCACTGTCACCTCCCCCTCTCCCCCCCAACATGGGTTACCCCCCCGGGAAAAATACCAGTCACCTTCGGGGCCTCTTTGGGCCTCTTGGGGACCTCTTGGGGGCCTCTTGGGACCTCCTGGGCGCCTCTTGGGGCCACCTGGGGGCCTCTTGGGGCGGAAGGCTCGGATTTTCCGTTTGTGTTCCCTCTCTCGGGCCCCTTTTGGGGCCGTATCTGGGCCTTCTTGGGCTCTTTTGGGCCGTCTTGGGGCACTCTTTGGCCGTCTTGTGGCCCTCTTGGAGGGCTCTTGGGCCGTGTTGGGGTGGTCTTGGGGGCCTCTTGGGCCGTCTTGGAGTGTCGGAACGCCGAAGAGGCAAGAAGGCCGAACACTTTCGAAAACCAAGGGCAAGTCAATGATTTTGGCGTCGTTTGGCCTTCTTCGGAGGCCTTCTTCGGAGGCCTCTTCGAGGCCGCCTCGCGCGTCTTGGGGCGATCTTTCGGCGACTCGGGGCCCTCTTGGCCCGTGTTGGGACCCTCCTGGGCCCCGACAAGCCATGCAACAAGATGCGCCAGAGCCCAGGGAAACCGCGCCTAGCCCCGCCAAATTTGGGAAATTGGGGTCCGGGCCCAGAGTGAGGGTTGAGGCTCCAGGGATTAGGCAAGGGGCCTGAGGACACGCCCACTCCGTGTCCAGAGGCACGGTGGCGGATGCTCGCGCGTGGGTTTCTTGGTTTCCCGTGCCCCCGCCGCTTCTCAAGGAAGCTGATTCGTGGTTCACGTGCCCCGTGGCCATGTACCTTCGGGTGCAACTCCTGGGAGGTCAAATTCTGACTTCGCCCTGGTCCGAAATCCGGCTTAATCCAGCTTAAGCTAGCTGAATCCCATTAAAGCCCGCTTAATCTTGCTTAATGGAGACCCAATCCGGCGTAACAGCCCCCTCCCAGAGGGGCTTAATCCCCCTTCCTCCGACGAAATGCTCCCCATAGTTGCCTCCTAATTGTGCCCGCGGCTTGGATCCCAGCCGCGCGTCGGATGAGACGTGCGTGTGCGCGCGCGCGCTGCCCGACTCCGCAGCGTCGCTGCGCGCGCGCGGCCGCGACGCCCAAAGCTCAGGAGGGGAAAAAGCACACAGACACAATTAATCGTCGATTCCCCAGAAAATATAGGAAAATATGGGCAGGGGGGGGGGGAAGACAGAGACCCAGAAAATATGGGAAAAGATGGGGAATCCTTTTATTTGTGTGTATCTATTTGTGTGTCCCAGGGCCCCTTCAAAAGCGCAGACCGTGAGCGCGCGTTCTGCCCGTCGCGCTCGGCAGGGAGTGCGCGCGGCAACAGAGGCTGCGAAGCACGGGGTGCTGTGGTGGAGGCGGAGGCTGTGGAGTACTGGGTACCCATCGGTCGTTGAACGTAGGTATTTTTGAAGTCTCAGATTCCAATCTACTTTAAGCGCCTTCCTACTTCAATGATCGGGCGGCTTTACCTTTTCCGTCCTCCTTTGGGGGTGGACAGAACCCAATCTACTTTCAACGCCTTCCTAATTCATGTTTCTACCTATTTCTTCCGACCGATAGGTACTCCGTGTGTGGGAGTTGAAGACGAGAGCTGTGAAGTACTGGGTGTTGTGATGGAGGTGGAGTATTGCGTGTTGTGTTGAATGCGCGCGCTGGGTGCCCCCACGGCAGGCGCTCCCGCCGCCGCTGCCCGGCGCCGCTGCCGGGCGGCCACCCTCTGCGTCGCCCTTCGGGGCTGGGGGGCGTGGGCGCCGAGACGTCGGGGCTCTCCTCTCCTCCTCCTCGCCCTGCCCCGTGTGGGATGGCGATGAGGGTGGGAGGAGAGGGAGGACGACGAAGGGCAGGGGGCCCGGGGGCGGGAGGTGGGTGTGAAGTGGGTGGAGGCGGAGGTAGAGGTGGACGGAGATGGAGGGATGACGAAGATCCTTGAAGAGTTTCCTGACAGTTGTACGCTGTTTTCGCCTGTTCCTGCATGTCTCCGTGGTTTTCAGAGGTTGCCCATGGTCTCTCAAGGTCAGGGGGCGAGGGGCCCCCCGCATTCTCGCCTCAGCTCTCCTTCCCTCCGCCTCGCCCCCCTCCCGCCCCTCCCTTGCTCGCTCGCTCGCCTCCCCGTCGTTCCCTCCCGATCCCTTCTCCCCCGC